GTAGCACACCGCAGCTGAGACGGGCAGAAGACCATCTCTTCAACCTGCTCAAGCGGAACTCGTACCTAAAAGGCTTCATTCTACGCTGCCTCACACCACAAAAGGTTGCTCGACACACCTCGACAAATGCAACAGTTGAAAAGAGAACAACACTGCCTTATATCAGCGGAATTTCTGAAATGGCAGCGAGGCTTTTATTGCCTTTTGGAGTCAAAGTTGCACACTAGCCAACGGAAACAATTCGCAGTAAACTCTTTAAGGTGAAAGATAAACTTAGCAAAGAGGAAGAAACTGGTGGGCTTTACAAGATCTGCTGCCGGAACTGCGACAAATACAACGTGGGACAGACTGGAAGAAAGCTTAGCACAAGGCTACACGAACACAGCCTAACCATTCGTCGCCACGATCAGAACTCCTTGATGTCAGTGCATATGGATGCCGAGAACCATCAATTCGACCTAGAGCATGCCAGTATCCACGGAAAGGCTAAAAGCCGACAAGCACGTGAGTTCATTGAAGCGTGGCATTCAAAACAGAACTCGATCAGTAAGGACTTGGACACTGAAGTCGCTTACGAGGCACAGCGAACCAGGTCCCTGAAGTCGCATTGGTGATGTTGACTAGTAAAGCAAGGAAACCTCTGCACCATAATCACTCAGCTCGGAGAACAGCTCAAAACCCGCATCCTCACCCCGAGCCACGGATATTCTCATTTATTTCAATTGGCTCTCCTAATCCGCGTGTGCCGCGAAGGCTTCCCTCTTTTTCGACACCGGTGTGCCAATGGTCGTACTGTTATCATCAAACCAATCTCGCCGTCTACGGCTTGCGCGCCCGATGATTTTTTCGGCCGCAGCCGTCACATGTTCACCGATGTAATGCCACAGATCACTCACTGAAGCGATGGATTCGACATCTCCATGACGCGTAGCCATCGCCATCTCCAGCTCCAGCATCTCTAAGATTCCTATAGAAATACATCTAGTTTGCGCCAGCTCACGGCATGGGAGCAACATACAGATTTACAAAAATATATGAACAATTTGGTCCGCCCCAGTTTGTGATCAGTGCCACACTCAGCTCCGCGCAGGCACACTTCACGCATGTCACGCTGGCGTACGATGACATAGTCGAGCGGGTAGGCGTGGCCATTCTGTGGTAGCGGCCAACTAGCCATATCACTCGCTCACAGCGCAAACCAGGTATTCATTATATGCAAGATTTCAGTGGCACACAGTGGGAGCACTCCGTCACCGTTCTCGTTTGCTGAGCCAATGTATAATGCCCCATTACGTCTGTCCACTCTGCGGCATCAAGCCCGACGCGCGCATTAAACTCACCCAGTAGGAATAGCCGGTGGCTCCTCCGCACAGACCCGTATCACGGAAGATAACTAAATGTAAAACTGATACCTCTTGCCATCAGAATAACACATGATGGGACCGGACATGCTATTATTAGTGCCAAACTTACCTGTTCCAAGTCAAAGGCGAAGTGTCATGAATCGTGGGCCGATTCCAAACGTTTCTGTCAGCAGTTGGCCATTTACGCGGTCGGATAGTGCAAATCCGACCCCACGTTCACGTGATGCTGTGGTGGCGTTTCCCACTCAGTAGAACATGTAACCAGCATCAGCTTCATGCTACTTGCCTTGGTCAGCGACCTGAGTCTCACTGCATGCGACGATGTCAATGCCGTAACGCGTGAGTTCCATCGCGACCGGTGCAGTGCGTCACTGGGGTCGCTCTCTCGTGTTCCGGTAGAGTAGTGGACGTATGTTCCAGCGCCAGCTGTTGAGTGCTTTGCGCGACGGCATATGATTTCGCCGGGTAAACGCTCTTGTGGTGTGCTATATTGGAGGAAGTAGTGCGTTAGGTGAACTTGGACTAGGAGAGTATGTGCAGGGGGAGAGGAAAGAAGGGAGGCGTCAGCGGTAGCATGCTTACGCTTATCCACCACACTGTATGCAGCAGATAAGGCGACCATTTTCCCAAGGCCAATGAACGATGGCCGATGCAGTGTGAAATTATCATTATTGGCATGCTTCATAGTTGGGGGTTGGAATATGATACTGCCATGGCATCCTCACTTGACAGAAGAAAGACAGGTCCTCAGTCAAATGCTTCATTGAAATGTACACCCCAGAGGCAGCGGGCCGTGCACCATGAGTCAGTGAACCGACTCACGCGGGATTGTGTGTCCTGACACTTAGCTGGAAGAAGGGTGTAACGTGATACCCACCCAGAGATAGCCATGAGAAGGCATCCAGTATCTGAAGCAACGGCATCACATTGGTAGCAGCATGTCAGCGATCTGTCAGTATTTAGCCTTTACAAGCCTCAGCGGTTGATTGGCACTGATGGCGCATGTTTGGCTGCATCCGGTTTCACTGCGACCTCCATAGGGATAATTACAAATCGCCTGCGCCTACAAAATGCTTGGACGGTTTGTGCCCCACAATCCCATACACTATCCACACATCCCATATCCAGAGTAAACCCGAAGGAATAAGACCAGGAGGCATGTGGATGGAAACCAACTTTGATCAACATTGCCGGCCTTCACTCCTTCAACATGCACAGAAACTGCAGAATCTAGCGAAAACAAAAATACATTTATGGCAACGGTAGCTGGCTTGCCGAACTACCTCCTCATGGTGTCAGCTGGATGTTGGCTCTGTGTCTAGTTAATGTTGCCTCTGTGTCTAGTTGATAGACTGTTGAGATTACTACTACTACTACTTGGCAACAGTCAGCTTCTCGGTAGCAGCAGGTTAGCCGTAGATTCAGCGGCATCACAGCAATTCCTGTTCTTTTCATTAAGGAATTATGCGTACCAGACGTATATAGGGCAATGGCTGTGCTGCACTCTGCTCCACACTGGATGAAAGCACTCTTTGAGCCAATCAGGCCCAGTAGTATGATACACCTGTCTGCCTAGCAACGATCCTCAGTGCCCTGGAGACAGTAATGCAGGTGGATGGTGTTGGACGGGTAGACACCTTGTCAACATTCACATTATAACCCGCCACAGCGGGAATCTCGTACAACCAACGAAGAACATGAAGGAAAATAAACACGCACTGTTACCGACACATCCGTCTTGGAACCTGAGCAACTCCTAGCGCAGCCTGGTCAATCCAAAATTCAAAGCCGGAAGAGCTAAGGTGTTCAGGCAATTTCCAGACCAAGTGTGTACAATAAGTTGGCTCTCGAATGCAACGTGCCGTTAACTGCAATGCTCAACCGATGAGCACAATGAAGCGAAGCGGTTCTAATGTCAGCGTGGTTTAAAGCGGTGATCAATCGTCAATAGATCAACCAATAAGCAGTGCACATGGAACGCGGGTGTGGTGAGCTAGTCCAGCCTACTCACTCGGAAAATGACGTGTCCTGGACGCGAGTGAGCATGAATGTCTGAATGAGAGTTCGGCCTAGAAAACCAAGGAAGTAGGACAGGACCAGTACAGACTAATGAAGCTGAGTGTGTAACTGGGCTGTCTAACACGCACAAGGAGTAAGACAGAAGGTGGGAGTAGCAAGCTTAACCATTGAGCGATGCAAGACGGGTAAACTCTAGTGGTTAGTTAAGGTCCAAATGTGAACGAGAAACGAAGTAACTGATGTCTTATCGTGCAAAGTCCAATAAGCAATCAAGGGGTAGTGATTGGTCGTTTTGGGGTAAATCAATAGGGGAAGTCTCCAGATAGGTTAAACAAGTCAATTTGTCCTTTACACGTATGATTGACACGGGATGTGAAGCAGAATAATAGAACGGAGCAAATCAAATAAAGTGAAACACCTTTTATTCAGATTATGATATAGTTTAAGTGTAATTCGATGTATCCCGGCTGCGATGAAGAATCATGCTGCATGCAACATAAACTTCAGCATACGGCACATACACACTTTTACGTATATAAAACCATTGATCCACTGTTATGGCAATCCTGTGATATGTATGCGCATCTTTCGATCACTTGTTATCGCCTTGCAATGATCTTGCTTTTGTATGTGTGCCCGCGTTTACTGGATAAGTCATATATATATATATATATATATATATATATATATATATATATATATTTCTAAGTCTCGAAAACAACACAAACTGAAAACAGCTTATTTAGGACATGTTTTAATTTTTGAACCCACTAGTTTCTGTAGTTGTTTGGTTTTGATTGCTTTGTTCAGTAGATTGTTGATATTATAAACATGTTCTGAATGCCTTGGAGTCCCAGAAAATGGTTCACTTTTCGCCTAAATCCATTTCAATTATGTACAGACGATTGCGCATGGAAAAGCATGTGCCTCTGAAATTCAGGTCCATTTTCGACTTCGAACATTTAAATAGCATTCAGTCAGCGCTATGTGAAGAGGTAGTGTATCTTTTCACATTCGTATGAAGAGAAAGATTTTCACCACTGAAAGATCGATTGTTCTGTCAGCGCCCACCGGGTGCGGAAAGACGGTCATTTTTGAATTAAGCATTATCAAGTACCTGCAAGTATGTGAATTGTGTGGGCCAGATCCGCTGTCATGCATCATTTACAGTAAGCACGTTGTGTTGTTCCAAAAGACACCTTAGTTGCCCCCCTCAAATCACTATGTAATGAAAAATTCTCTTCCTGGACACGCAAGTTTCGTGGAACCATGTTAAACTGTACTATCTGCACTGGGGACAACGAAACACTATATTTCGATGAAATCACTAATCAGACTTTACTTATCACTACACCTGTGAGTCTCACAAGAGGCAAATGATCGGAAATAGGAGAAGTTGGACGCTTTTATGAAGTCATCTGGAGAATGGGACCTCCTTTTCAAAAGAATAAAATACTGCTTTGTGGATGAAGTATTGCCTTGAGTTATGTGGTTCACGGGACTTTAAGGTTCACATCATCAAGGACCCATGCAGAGGTCCGATTTTGGAGTGCCTACTCACAGCTGTGAAACGGATCTCATGTCCTCGATTTATTTGTGTCTCAGCCACCATGTCCAATGCGGAAGACGTAAGTGTGCAATCCGAAAACTTGACAGTTGGTAGCTTGCAGCTTGGCTCTGTACTCCTTCAACGCCAGCACTGTTTTACAAGTAAGTCAATCGATTTGATTGCTGAATTCTAAGCAGTTTCGGAGATGAATTCCGACCATCTGCTATCAAAAAGCTTGTTTTTGGCTATTATAAACCAAAGAACCAGTCAATATTCCAGTTTGACAGCATTCTCAATCACAAGATAAGCGATATCGTCAATTCATTTTCGAACGGAAAACCAGTTTTGATTGTGCGTCCCTTAAATTTCTGAGCGCATCTTCTTTTTGCAGTTCTGCACCACCAGAAGAGGAACCGCACAACTTGCCCGCGAGTTGGTAAGACGGAATGAGTTTCTAGTGTATCACAGTCACCGAATTCAGTATGCAGAAAAGCTCAAAGATCCGCATCTTAAAAGTAAGGGCAAAGCTTGTTTTAATGTAGCGGAAAGATGAGTTACTTATCACACGATGTAATACTGCTTTCGCTTATGGACGACATAGTGAAACATATAATTGATTGGCTATGTCGTTTGCCGAGGCATTTTTAATCACAAGGCAATCAACACTTTCTTATTTTTTCACAAACTTCTGTCTTAATGATAATGCCTTCTCTCTTCTCCTGTAACCAATCATTATGTTTCCACATTTCCAGTTTGTTTTTCTAGGGGCGTTGGCTATCATCATGCTGGACTTGACCCAGAGGATCGTCGTCTGATCGAGCAGGCCTTTACCTCCGGTTGCCTTCCGATTTTAGGTATTATTTGGTGATTTGTACACAAAATACTTTTAACGCAGCATCAACAAGCACTCTATCCATGGGCTTGAACCTTCCAGCCCACTTGGTAATTATAAAGAACACGGAGCAACTCGTAAACGGAGAGGTGAGAGGCTACACCTCCACGCAGATATTACAGATGGTTGGTCGGGCCGGCCGACCACAGGTGCGTTCCAACTTGAATAAAGTTGAGAAATATGAAAAACTTGCACACGTTTAGGTATATATATATATATATATATATATATATATATATATATATATATATATATATATATATATATATAGCATTGCTCCGCCTTTCGATTGAAACGGATTGTATCACGTGATGAAAATGGAATAGGGTTTCCTCAATTCTTTTTTTGCATGGCGTTAATGCCTAGACAGAAGCGACGTGACACAGCGGCGTTCCATGTCCTGCATATCTGAAGGGACAACACATTTTGTCGCAAGCAAGTCGACTGTACTGCGTGACCAAGCTGAATTAGTTCTCTACAGGTTGGTATTGTAGTTGAGCTGCAACAGATCGCCACAATTATGGTTAGGGTTCAACAACATTGGATGCATCATGATATTTCCTCGTAGACGTCACTATTCACCGCATTGCAATTCAAAAGCTTACGGTTGGAGTTAGTTAGGAAGGTAAATCAAACTCCCTAACGAATTTGGGCGTTTTACGTTGTGCAACTTCAAGCACCTTAACATCGTGTTCGCGCCAGGGCGTCAAGCTTAGACAACGTACTCAACATGAGGCTTACTGTAAGCTTCAACATTTGTTGTAAAGAAGAAGGCTCGGACGCCGCCCGGTAAGAGGTCATGGTGCTGACTAGTTCCCCACGATGCTTTATTGGCCTATTTAGTGCATCCACGCTCATCTGCACACTATTGGGTTGTTTCCCGAGTTGCTATTCAAAAGCATTCTAGTTGCGTATGCTTACGACTTTGCATTTTGATGGGTTAAACTGAAACCTCTTTCCAGTTGACTACGTATAGGCCTTATCGAAATAACTCTGCAGTGCGTGTGATCCTCCACTGTTTGTGTAGTACCAGATCTTGGCATGACTTACAAATAGCAGTAAATTCGAGTACAGTATACTAGCAAGATGTTTGATGAAAACTAGCAATAAACATGGTCTCTTCATCATACCGCATTAGACTTCGACTGGGCCAGCAAAGGTGCTACGGACTCTCCAAATCAGCTGATTTTGCATATGAAGGAGAATGCGGTGATCCAGGTAGTCGAAAACAGGCCCGTAGCTGAAAAGACAAATCGACTAACCTGCAACGCGGAGGTCGCGGGTTCGAGTCTGCATAAGGGATTGGGCGACCATCGCAGTATTATTATCCCTTGCGCGATTGGTTGTGGTTGCTTGGCAGCGAAGCGTCTGCACGGCGTACTGATTAGGCTTCTTTTGTAAGGTCCAGTTGGACGACGTCGCCCCACACTTCTGCACCAACAGATGCTGTCTAACTTTATCGGACTAACATCAACTTTGCGACGCTTGACCAATTTCGGCGGAATCTGGGCTGTTTGGAGGTGTTTTTGATCTCAGAATATCCCATGAGGCCCTTCGCGACAATACCTTTCAAAACTCTAGATCTCTTCACCGGGATAAGTTATTGAATGCTCCTTTCGGACTGCACATGATTGGGACTCTTGTGAATGCGAGTGACTATTTCCTGGTTACAAACTGTGGAACGTGCATTTCACAAGGCATCTTTGAAAGAGCCGGATCAGCAGTTTGGTTATGTTCCCGGTGACTGCCTTTAGTGCATTTGGGCGTATGTTTTCTATATGGAGAGAGCTGTATATGTGTAAAAACAATAGTCTTTTCATTACACCTTTTTCCCTGGTGGGTACGTGACTTAATTCTGAGGGTGGTGTGAGCTGTGTCGGAAACGGGTGAGATAGCGATTCACTCTGGAAAGTTGGGCGAATTGTTGCGGAAGCGCTTTGGCCCCTTCTTGTGTCGTTAGCGCTGAACCAACCGCTGCGAGTAGAAATAGGATTCCGTGCTACACTCTGTGGAGTTTACTGAGGTGTATGGATGGTGTTTTATGCTTAGTGTGGAATTTCATTGTAAAAGCTAATTGCTACTTGAATTTATCTTCGCGGACCAACTTAACACGGGGTTTCGTTGAGTTATGTAAACTTCCAAGGCGTGTGCCCTAATAGCCTCTAGTCTAGTCTCCCTCAGACAAAACATTTTCGAGTCGAGCTACTCGAGATGCATTTTTTTTACATCCGAAACAAGATTTCTATTTCCAATGCATTTGCCACTGGTCAGATGAATCGGTTGACGAGCTCCATCCAGGCCACATCCGGAAAATGTTCGCTGAGAAACGACAAGGCAATTGCTAGAATGTGGTCAGACATAGGATTTCTCGGTGTTTCTACTGATGCATTCCGTGTGGTAGATGTAACGACAGCAGCGTTGCATGATTATAGGGGCATGGGGATGAACCAATCGTTATGCTGACAATCTAGTTGGTTAGCCTGATGTCTAAACCAGATGACTCTACACCCGTTCTGGATCGTGTTGTAGAGATGACATAGATTTTTAACGACGAATCAGCGCTTACTTCTTGCAACTCTGTCTTGAATTGTTCAGTGACAGAAGTGGGGACCTCGATCGCGTGCAACATGAGGTCCCCTATACGAAGCACGTGACTGTATGACTGTGACAGGGCACGCTGCATAACAACAGTCAAGCAGTGATTAATTTCCATCGCGGACATTGTAGGGCAGTAAACGATTGCTGGCAAATACACCTTACCACATCTTAAATGATGGCACCAAAGACAACGGACCAACTGCGCTTCTGTGTCGTCGGTAATATCGATTGGTGGGTCTGAACGGTAATACAGGATTGTCCCGCTTCTACTGCTGGGTCAATGTTTTCGTAAGAGATATTCAGGGTACACCAATCTCAGCATAATTTATCTCCGTATTCAGCAGTGTTTCGGTTATTCATGATAAGGGCACAAGATATTGAAACCTGGCTAGTACAAAATTTGATTAGGCTGCTGAGAAGACCCTGATTGAGGGCCATGGAGGCTAGAATAGTAGTTGTGGATGCAGGCTTCAAATTTGACTATATGCCGATCATCGGCTGTCAGTCGCTTTTTGTTGGACCGTTGACACAGGCCTTGGAACCATTCCAGGTTGAGGTATAGAGTGCTCGGTGTCAGCACACAGCTGATAATCTAGTCCTCCTTCAGCCGCCGGACAGTTTCGACTTCGTCTCGACTCTTAGTTGCATGCTGAGGGGGTCAAAACCAATCCATGCCTGTCCAGTTTTATCTTGTCCCTTTGTGACTATGTTTCTGTCAATTTTGCGTATTTTGCACCACATTTTGTTGTTCGCCTCTTCTGCCACGGGTTTGAAGTGCAGCGTTACTTTAATCGCTTGTGCACCGCACTCGTATTTGGATGAAAGCGTTAACTTCTCGAATTGGCGATCATGCTTCGAGACTAGACGCTTCACTGATAAGACTCCATTCATTCCAGTCATACTTGAGCCTCTAAGTCGCTTGAACACGGTGGACAAGGATCGACTTTACCTACTTTTGTTTTCGATAGTAAATCGGGTTCTGTTTGTATTTCTGAAGTACGGTCCAAGAAACAGCGGGGAAATGATAACATGATATGGGGTGATTCGGAGCCTAGTGGTTGATAGGAGAAGGTAGCAATACAAAGGACATGTGGTTTATTGCCAGATGAGATGTAGGTAGGCGCATAAGGCTATATCACTTGGGTGTATAAATGTCTGGTAGAGTAGGCTATTCCAGATGACAGCGTTGAATTATCTGACTGCGTCTAGTGCCTTATTTGTATGAAGTCATGTTCATCATTGAATCATTTGCATTTTTATGTTGTTTCACATTTAGATATTGTTTGATAGAAGCGACACGATGACGTTTCCTGTGTAATCGCGGATATTGTAAAATTATCCGCCGTAGAAGTTGGTGGCTAATGAGTATATTATATTCGTGAGATCTCCATTTTGAAGAGCTTTTATGTGCCTTTTCAGTTTGATACTGAAGGCATCGCTATCATAATGACTTCTGCGGAGCTAAAGGTAAGACAAATCTTCTCGAATTACCCATCGAATTCGTTTACAGGCTCACTACGAAAGTGTCTTGTTGCAGAGTGACACCATAGAAAGCTGGTTTGTTCAGATTTGCCACGATTACCAAAATACCAAACTTCCAGTCTTCACACAAAATTAGCTGAGCACATTAACACGGAAATATCTCTGGGACGAGTCGAGACCCTAAGCGATGTCACAGAGTGGTTTAAGAGTACTTTTCTTTGCGTGCGAATGAAGAAGCTACCGCAGCGCTATGGTAATTTTTCAACCATGCTTGACTGATTATTTGCCCCCCAGTTATCATTCCTTCACGCTAACATGAGATTTAGCCGGAAGAGGCCGTTTAAATTGCCAATAGATTTTCTTTTTCTTAGGGTAACTGTAAGTTGGCTGGACTCCAACCTTATCTTTGATTTAGGATGATTACGTCCCTTACATGGTGATGAGGTGTATTTTAACCAGTATAAACAGCGACCCGTTTGTTGGGGACTGGAAAGCTAGTGATTTGTTTTACTTACAATACTGTCCCCTTTGATTGCACGACATAAGCACCTATAATTCATGTCACTTGGCTAAAGGGCCACTAGGTCAAACGCTTAATCCAGCCAGAAGATAAGTTGCACATATCTTATGGCTAGTAACGGCGTGCAAGGGACAGTGGGTGAACAACCAGAGAGGGTTAACTTGTCATCTCCACTTACCGCATCAACCAAACTAATAGACTATCCTAGCTGCTACTCGCTTTCCCTTTCAACTGGAATTTATGTAGCGGTACATAAATCAATGGTCTTTTATTTCGATCCTAAGTATTTAAATAAAACAACAGGGAAGACTAAGATTCAGATGGAAACCTTGGCCAACCTCGTAAGATTTATTCCCCGCTATTTGTGTGATTATCGGGATCAGTGTTCACTCATCTCTCAAGTCCGAATGATAGCCACCCGCCCTCTCCTATGCTCTTGGATGTTTATGTTTCTTTTTCCAAATCGGAGCAAGCCTTTTCTGACCATTATTGTGAGAGCAACTCCGGCACATGTGATTATCCTTCTACAGGTTTACTTGAAACTCGTTCGATAGATTCATTCAATGGACAAATATCCGGTAGGTCTCAACCTTTCCTTACACAAAGTTACCTAATTATAGACATTTGCTTCAAAGAAGTGCTTACTCTAGAAAGGCTGGGCCTGCTCACACTGGGCGAAGATACCGATGTTATACACAAACGAGGTGGGGTGATTGTTGGCATAGAAACTGAAGGATTGTTGCAGAACTTTGTCACTTAATGATGAAAAACCACTTGGAATTGGCCACAATAGAGATGATGTGGGGATTAAGTGGAGAAGAGTCGCTGGAACAATTAGTAAGTTGCGCTGGTTTGGACTTCTGCTTTCATCAATTTATACTCAATTATCATTATACCGTACATAATGGATCAAAAGACTCGATAATCCAAAACTTATGGTCCATGGATTCAGAGACAAATTCATTTATGCTGGTGATTGTGAAACTCAGATTACTTGCCCAAGCACAACTGAAATTCGTAACAAACCACCTGATTGTGTGGAAGAAACGGAAGGAGATATCATACTGTTTTGAATACCGGTTAATGCAGACTATCAGGGTGACTTATGCGTAGACCGTTGGGAAATCCACCCCTCTTAAAAGTTGGAAAGAGTTGGTGCACGGTGCTTTATTGTGGTGAGGTCACTGTCATTGGAGGCGTTCTCTGGTGGTAAAACGACACTCTTGGTTCAACTGAGCAGAAACTGGTTGCACTCTTTTCTACATTTGCTGTCAAAATATGTCGACTGTCCTGAGCTCAAACGAGAGATCTTGACTTCGCGACTCAACACAGGTAACAAATTGGTCATTGAGCTGCCAACCGTTTTAATACTATGAGGAAGGTGACCATCTGTTGATATGTCGTTAAAAACAAGATTTGAATAAACACTGGGAACAAAAGTTGGCTTTTGTCAAAGTCTTCTCAAATACAAGAGAAATCATGGCATCGAAGTGCTTGGATTGTCGCAAAGTAGTCACCATCCACTCAAAGGACATACAGTGCAAAGCCTGCAATGGCTGACTGCATATTGTCTGTTGCAATCTCGAAGCTGCTTTGTATGGACTTCTCCAACTGACCTCCTCTTCAGTTGTCCTTTTCGTTTGTGCCGGGTGCCAAGCGACTGATGCGGATAAGAGCCTCGGGATCTGTTCAACCCCCTCAGCACTGTGGCCATCACACGAAAACAAAGGCTGACCCCATCCTGCCAATCGCCGTGTCCAGTTCGGGGACTGCAAACATAAGTCGTAATAGACTCCTCTGCTTCATCGTCGGTGACCATGACACGTAGCGGACGTAAAAGCAAGACGATCACTCCTGCTGTCAAACGTAGCCGGGTCTTATCCGCGTCGCTTTCGGAGCCGTTGACGCCTGCTGGTGTCAGCAAAGATCTTACACCCAAAACGTATGTAGCAGCTGTTAGCAATGAGGCAGTTCCAGCCTCCGTTAACCGGAGCGCAGTCGTTCAGCTAAAAACAGTCCGAAGCGCAACAAGACCCAAACCAAAGCCAACCCTTTCCATTCCCAACTAAAACAAGTTATTGACAGAGTATGCCAACTAGAAAAACTGATTACAGACAACCCGTTTTCTAAGCCGCCGGTTCGTGCGAACAGCACGAATCGGAATCGATGCTTGATCATCATGAACGCACTTGAATCCGATAAGGATACTGCGGCTGCTAGCATATTGGACGAGCAGGAATTTCTAGGGCGAATGGTTTGCAAGCTTTTCGACGTAGGCGAGGTGGGCATCAATATTGTTTCTGCCTTTTGTCTCGGCAGGAAGCAAGAAGGCTTCGCGGAAAGTCGTACCCTCAAAGTTGTGTCAGGATGAAGATGAGTGCCGTCGGGTTCTCAAACGGATCTCACGTCTTAAGGGGTATTTTTTTCTGTACTCCGAAATCTTCCTCCAAAGATAGGGCTCGAATGAAGAGGGCTATCGAAGAGCTACCGAAATGTTTGCAAATGGTGACGTTAATCATTACATTGTGGATTTTCCCGTGGTACAGAGAGCACAGAGTTCGATGAAAACCAATCCTCATCATACCCAGGCAGCAAGACGAAAGAATGGGCTGCAAGTCATAACTGTTAACGTGCATAGCAAAAGAAACAAGCTTGACTAAATTCAACTCCTTGCCTCAGAGAAACAACTTGATCTAATGATCTTCACAGAGATCTGGTTATCTTCGAACATACTAGACTCAGTGGTTCAAATTCCGGAGTATCACTTCTCTCGGGCCGACCGTGCTGGACTGAGGTCTGGGGGAGCTGTGATTCTGTACTCTAGGAAGAGCCTCAGGGCTCATCCTGTGGAAGCAGTCTTCCGCAACGATGCTGCTTCCCAGCTTTAGTTGTGTCGAATTCATGACTGGTGTACGTCTCTAATGCTCGGTATCCTTTACAGAGCACCTATGGGGTCCGGTACTTGCTTACTGGAGTCGATAATTAAGCACGGCAGAGGAAAAGACTGTCTAGTAATGGGAGACTTTAATGCTGCTGCTACTGATTGTAATCGAACTCCTGATCCTTTCGATTCTCTTCTACTCGAAACTATTCTTGGTTGTCAGTTGCTACAGCATGTTGCAGCGCCCACTAGAATATATCCTGGCCAGGCTCCACACACTTTGGGCATCGTACTCTCACCGGCTTACTCAGATGTCTCCACACTGACTGTAATACAACCTATTGTCAAAAAAGATCATTATGTGGTTGCGTTCGAATGGACACGCCGTCTCGCTATTCATGACCAAAGTGAGTACCGTCGAAACTTCTGGCGTACGGACCCACGCCGTCTGAGACTTACTGTAAGTACTCTAGCTTGGTGCATTCCCGAGAACCTAGACGGTGACGATGCTTGGGGCCTCTTACACTCAAACATGAGGTCATTCATTGGTCAAATAATCTCTCTTTGTATAAGGAAGCAGTTTTCCAAGGGCGATCCTTGGATCGATTATGCGTTAAGGATCCTTCTGAACAAACGAAGCAGATTATGGGATGCATTTAGGTCTACAACATTGGCTTTAGTCTACTCGAACTATAAGTCGGTTAGGAACCTCTGCACACAAACGAACCGCGAGAAATGACAACGGTACGAACTTCGTTCGGCAGAAAAGTCCAAGACCAACCCCAAACTAGTGCCGTCGTATCTGTGTGGGATACCTGCCCTGCATTCTAGCAATAATTCTACGGTACCGGATGGGGATGATGCGGAAGCTGATCTCCTGGCTTTACAGTATTCCTATGTCTTTTCCATCGACGCTCCATTATCCCGTGACTTTGTGTCACCTCGCCCCTCTACACTGGAGAGTATTGAGCTCAGCGACGAGTTGGTTATGCGACTACTTCTTGAAGTAAATCCGAACTCTTCACCTAGTCCGGATAATCTGCACTCAGTAGTTCTCAAGGCGGTGGCTCAGCCCGTTGCTTCTCCTGTTTTCCAAGTTTATTGGCGCTCCTTAGACGCCGGGCGCTTTCCTATATTTTGGAAACTTGGTACTTTGAGACCCATATACAAGGCAGGAGATTCTCAGGATCCTGCAAACTACCGATCGATCTGTCTGACATCGATACTTTGTAAAATTATGGCAAGAATGCTTAAGAGAGCCATAAATCTTCACCTGGAGAACCTGCATATCTTTTCATGCGCTCAACTTGGTTTTCCGAAGTAGCGTTCCTGTGTCTTTAACTTGCTTGTTGCGAGATCGCTGGATGCCAGTAATCGTCTGGATGTCGTTTCCGTCGACTTCAACAGGGCATTTGACAAGTTCCTCATGGACGTCTCCTCAAACTCCGGGGAATTGGCGTTTATAGGAAGATTGTTTCCCCAAACCTAAGCACGACTCAAGACACCCTAAAGAAAGTTGCCGCTGCTGATAGGATGTTTTTCTCTATTAGGAGTTCCTTCTCCCAAATGACTCCTGAGATATTCCGACTTCTTTTCAGCTCTCATGTTCGACCAATTATAATGTGCGAATTGCCAGCATCCTATCCTCTCACGAAAGGCGAATGCGTACTGATAGAGAAGGTACAACGGTGAGGACCGAAATCCGTCATGAGACTCCGGAACATGTCTTTCATAGACTTCTAAGGATGAACTTGTTCTCCCTGCATTCTTGTCATCGCCGTGGTGGCTTATTTACACGCGACTTATTCTCCAATTTGATTTGGGGGATGTGATACAACAACACTATATTCTTTGTGCGGATAATTCGGCACGAGGCCAATATATGAAGCTTTTTAAACCAAGGAGGCTTCGGGTTCTCTCTGATGTAACCAATGGATTTATGGATTTATACGTTTAATACGCGAACATCTCCGCTATTGTATATAAGTCTATGGTGAGTCCACCAAAATGGTTTTCAGTTTATCATGCAATTAACTTTTCGCAATAATTTCCATCCCACGGGACTTGTTATGCAATGCATTTTTACCCGTAATAAACCATCGTTCCATTGTTTGTCAATTCGTATGGTGAATGACTGGAACAGTTTACTTGAGCTAGTCGTCAGGGCACAAACAGCAGAATGTTTCAAAAAATTGATAGACATCTACTTGCTGGACAATCATGGATCTTGCTGTGTTGACTATGACCGCAATACTCCCTTATGGAGCACTGTGCTACATCAACGTACATGATCCCTACAGTGCGCGGGAACTAATGGGGCTGACAAAGGTTTTACTTTCTGCCCTCTACAAACCAATGAACCAATAAGTATGGGCCGGCAGCCATCTGATTACCTTTGGTTGGATAGGAAATACACGGCGTCAACCCACAGGCGTTGGGTTGGGATCAGCACTTTGATTAGCCGGCCATTTGCTAGCACAAAGTAAAACCACAGCTGCGGTGATACTAATGGTAGTTTGCATGGTACTCGTATGCTTTCCCCGCCTTATGTTTCCCCAAACCCACTGATATCACCGCAACTGAGCAGGCACCTTCGCAGAATTCCTCGTGTGTAGTTAAATCATGGAGTGAGTGATGAAAATAGCAACCAGTTGGTGTTCAGTAATCAGCCGTCTGTTTCAGTATCAGAAAGTCCTTTTACCTGAACTGACTTGCAACTAGATTGATCGTTTAACACTGCGCGCTGCACTCGATTGCGTGCAGCTTCAGGGGATGACTGACGGTCCGTTAAAAACGACATAACGACTGACAGCCAGGAGTACTCAGGATGATGTACCATCCTCTTCCACAAGGCCTTTGGGACCAACCCCATAGGTGGTTAGAAACCTTAAGGGCGTTTATTCAGATTCACACTTAATGATGTTCTTGTATCAGGTCTCCTGTACATCAATCTTAACTTTTCCATTAAACAACTGTACTTGGACTTTTCCCTGTCATTGTTCAAACTTTAATGTTTGTATGTTGTTTCGATCTCCACATAACGGTGTAACTAAACGTGTTTGAATCCGCCCAAATTTGCTGCCCCAATAATTGACTACCAGTTAACCTGAACTGGACAGGTTTTTAGTTGGTTAGAATATGGTTACATCAGGGTTGCTCATGTTTTGCGCTCCTCATTATACTTCATCCCCGTCCCAATGTGTTAATGGTGCTTACACACATTTTCAACAAACCATTTACAGTTGCATTTTGTCGCCGGTTGTCCGGAACTGAGAGATATTCCCTTGCGTAATAACGAAAAGACGCTTCTAAACAGCTTGAACCACACACGAGGACGTCAAGCTCTTCGGTAAGTGCGGTTTAACATGAGACGAGCTTAATTAGATGGGTCTGCTTATTAGCAAACAAACGATGTCTAGCTTGAGCTGCTGCGATTTGCAGACGATCCCTTAATTGGTTTGAGACATTAGTTTCTCTACAACTGACCGATTCGTCGATTGGACAAGTAATCTTTTGATGTTAATTTTTGTTTGCTCTGTGCCCTAGCTTTCGATTAATGCCCTACACCTAAGGAGTGTTCACACATCTTCGTGGAGCATGAGGTTACATCAGCAAGTCTTTTTTATCCAGCAGAAATAGGACTTTCAATTACAGCCGTCGGCACTGCGGCTTCGGTTGCATTGTTCGCATCGTGCCTTGCTATCCACAGGCGTCATCAGTGCCGACGGTAGTTCCAAACAGAGCTGAGTACGCAGAAGTGCTCTTGCAGTGCGTTATCTCAAACGATACTACATCACAATTCTTGAACTGAGACCTTAATAGAATGGCCTGACCAGGCTGGTAGAAACATGTTTACTTGCTTCGAGATAGAGTATTTCGGATGATGGGTGTATGAGGTTTCATTATTAGCGAAATACACCGAAAGCAATAGCTACGTGCTATAGTACTCGATAACGTGAGACCCGATCCAGTGAACCTAGTCCGATTATTATGTGTAGATTTTATTCAGAATTGTGGCTGTAAACGGATTGTGTTCCACTGGTACGAAACTTTAACCCCATCTACTGCTAGACGTCGATCAGATGTTTTTCGAAAATAGTGGTAGTGATTCCATCCAACTTAGTAACAAATTCTAGCCCCAGATGCACCAAATCTAGGTGAGACAGAAATCAAACAATGCGCAAAGAATTGCAACGAAAAGTGTCAACTTAGAAATAGTAGGGCTCTACAAATGATGTTACAGTGTGTTTTATGAGCCATGAGCAGACAGTGTATAGGATAATTGCTCTGGAATACGGAAAGAAAATTTAGTTAACACTATTGCGAGCAGATCAATGAAAGATATAATGGTACGTTTTTGACAGTGTTTTCGAAGATCTCGCTCGTAGTCACTCGGCCCAATGAACGGCATCCAGCGTAAGTGAATATTATAATGATAAGAACAATTAGTCTTACTGAACCCATAGATCGACAGTGTTTACAACTTGTGTATGGGAAGTATTCACGTCAGAAGGCAGGTAAAATATGACATGAGATAGGGTAGGCACGATCTGGATGGCTTATAGGTACGTCAGTCGAGTGGTGTGTATGCACCTAGGTAACAGTGTAGTGACCTTGAGAGGGAAGAGGTACTTACTTTGAGTTGGGTGTCAAGCTGGCTAGTCTACTAGTATCTAATCTAGTGTTTGATCTACGCAAAGTCAACTTAAAGGATAAAGCAAAAAGAGCACAAAAGAAGAGGATAGTATATGGGTGTCCAAACTACCGCTGTGCCAACAGTTCCAATGACCAATGATCCAGATACAACTAATGGCTGTGATAAAAGAGGAAGGCGAATTGAGGAAACAGAGATTTATAGCGTGACTGCAAATCACATACGGTCAGACATTTGTTCATACTCTTGGTTTTAATGTTGGAACGGGCCAAAATTGCACTCACGCTATCATGTCGTGACCGTAATTGTGGTTTGTTCCATAGATTCCCGTTGGCTGGCCGGATCGCTACTGTTCCAATGAAGATCGTTTGCCTTTTACAATGTCAACTGACAGGAATGCAAATGAAAGACTATTCGCTCCTCCAAGATACTGATAAAATCAAAAGATGTGCCAAGAGAATTGTAAACGGTTAGTTTGACAATCTATAGGAACTCTACAAAACATAAATTCGGATTCAAGTTGACGTATCAGTCCTCTTGCTAAATATTCTTGTAATGATGCAGTGGCTCACTAACCTACTTCAGCACATTCCCCAACTGTTAACAGATGTATTCGTTATGGTGGAATATATTTGGAGGAACATGTATCCCATCATAGTAGAAATCAACAACTGCCCGGTAGATACTCGGTTTGCCAGAAACGATTGAACCGTCGCAACGAGACTGGATCTTAATGTCGTGCCACGGTTTGCGTACCTCATTGACCCATTGAGCTATACCGGGTGATGCCTCCGGGCACTTTGAGAGCTACTCCTACCAGGTTGGTCAATGGTGAGAGGTCAGACAAACTCAGTCTCCTGGTCCTCCAAGTTGGGGGTTTGAAATGGGATGGCGTCCATTTCTGTAAAACTAAATCATTACCACGCCTTGCGGACAGGCTTTTGAGCCAAAGGCTTTGGATGAGGACCCTAATCGTCCTCCTGTCTAGTTCTGGGCGCCCTGACAGTATCTCAGCCCACATACAACCATGACTCTTTCTTCAGACCTCAACTTCATCCTGCATCGGCCATGGCGCAGATTATCAGGGGTCGCCTTATCTACTGCATATAGCAGGGCGTATAAGTGAAAAATGCTACTGCTGGCGCCTCCCCTTTTTCTTTTCCACCTGTTTCTCTTACTCCCATCCCGACCCCCATTACTAACCTTCCTTCTATAATTCCCAACTTAATTGACAACAACCGAAGTGTCACTGGAGTAGAACCATCTGCAGCCACCAGCTCACCGCACCTATCGGACGCCTATCGGCAAAAGTCTCTTATAAGACCACGCTGTCCCGTTTCCATGGCTACATTCAACGTTCGCACTCTAAGACAAACAGGTCAACAGGCTGCACTCGCACGCACCTTGGACACACTGGGTATTGATATGTGTTGTGTGTCCGAAACTAGGAGCAATGACCCTAACGGGGTTATTGAATTAACTGCACCCGGTTTAGCCTCTCCTTATTAGTTGCACGCATCCGAAGACGCCGATGCAGCACTCACGGGTCAAGCTGGTGTAGGTATCATTCTAAGATCCAAAGCTATGCCACTGTTGTTTGATTGGATTCCAGTGAACAGCCGTTTATGTGCAGCCCGTTTGACGACATCAGCCAAGGTTGATTCACGAAGTAGTGCAGAACGCTGTTTGTCTGTGGTTTCTGTTTATACTCCCACCGACTGCAGTTCAAATGTTGTGAAGGGCGCATTCTATGACGAACTGAACGTGCTACTACGCAGTGCTACTAGTGCAGATAGTATAGTACTTGCAGGGGATATGCACGCAAAAGTGGGGCGTCTGAGCTCTTCAGAAGCTCAGCTGGGTGGTAATTATGGGCTCTACTCCGAAAGGACTGACAACGGTGAGCGTCTGCTGCAACTGTGTGCGGAGCACCAGTCGTTTCTTAGTAGCACTGCTTTTAGACACAGTGGGCGCCGAAGTGTCACTTGGCATCCTGTAGCTGGCCAGCGATGGACCCAAATTGACCACATTGCCATGAGTTACAGATGGCGTGGTTCCATCCTGGTTTGTCGCTCGTACTGGAGTACCTGCGTCGACTCTGATCATGTCTTGGTACGCTGTCGTTTCTCTATGAACGTTACCGGGAGACGCACCAAGCGGCTCTTCCAATTGGCAACGGAGAAATTGTCTCAGTCCACGGTCAGCCAAGCCTATCAAGAAGCACTGCGTACCGAACTTCCGCTCTCTTGTCCTAATGACACTGAGCTTCAGTGGAATAGGATCTCGGTCGCCATGCACGACGCAGGAGCATCTGCTTGTGGCACTATCCATCGTCACTGCCCCAGTCAATGGATATCCGAGTGGTCGGTGGACCTGTTGGAACCTAGTAGACACCTCCCGGCTGGCTCTGAACACAATGTGACCAGACGGGCTATTAGGCGTGAACTAAAGCAGAGCCTACGTGCTGACATGGAAGCCTGGTGGACCAGTCGGGCGCAAGAAATGGAGGAGGCAGGAGCAATAGGCACTTACCGCAAGCTCTTCCAGCTCATCCGCACCACTGGTCCCAGTAAACCAGGCGTCAGTGAGACAATCAGAGACAGCGCTGGTACGCTGATACACAATAAGGAGCGCTGTATGGTTTGTTGGGCGGAACATTTTCAAGATCAGTTCAGCTGGCCCCCTGCTCTCGGACCTCTTCCTACTCAGGTGATGCAGGACGAGCCATGGACGGTTAGCTTAGAGCCTCCGTCGGAGGCCGAGGTCCGAAACGCGATCAAAGCCCTCAATCGTTTTCGTGCCGCTGGACCGGATTCACTCCCACCTGCACTATTTAAGGATGGAGGTGAGGTCCTCTGCAAAGCATTGACCTCCTTATTCGAATGTATCTGGAAGGAAGAGAGTGTCCCGGCTAATTGGAGCGAATTAATTATTGATCAGTTCACTTATCTTGGCAGCTGCATCAGCATTGATGGCCGCATAGAAGCTGACGTCAGCTCATGCATTTCAAAGGCCACGACTACCTTCTTGAGCCTGCGGCATCTTTGGCGACAGAAGGGAGTTTCTCTCCGTCTGAAAGACCGGGTATACAAGGCCACAGTGAGGGCCGTTCTGCTCTATAGTAGTGAGACTTGACCCCTTCGGTCTGAAGATCTGAGGCGCCTTCAAGTCTTTGATCATCGTTGTTTGCGAAGCATTGCTGGTGTCGGATGGCACCAGCGTGTCCGCAACGATGATGTGCGTAGGCGAGTACTAGGTTGTGATAATCATGCTAGCTCCCTAGAACAACAGATAGCACTGAATAAGTTGCGTTAGCTCGAGCACGTGCTACGTATGCCTGATCACCGCTTACCTAGGAGGGCCTTGTTTAGTCGACCAGGTGTAGGGTGGCGCAAGACTCGAGGTGGACAGAAATTGACTTGGCAACAGGAAATGAAGAAACTGACGACCAAACTGGGTACCGTTGTTACGTCTCGCCTTCCGGGTTGGAGTCCACGTGATTCGCCTTGTGCTTGGCTCGAGATTTTATAGGACATGACTCGCAGTGGACACCAATGGCGCGTCTGCTACCGTCTCCCAATTGGATTGTCTGTTTAAAGTGTGTTTGGTGCTGAGTTATCTGCGGGGTAATGGCTGATTATGACGCGTGGCAGTGAAAGCCGCAAGGAAGCTGTCTCGCCGATGCCGCCTTATCTTTGCACGATAGCCAGCTGTTTGTGACGGAATGTTGTCTACACTAGGTGTAGGCGCCTTGACCCTGAATGTTTTCTTAGGGCATAAAGGTTTTTCAGGTAAGTTCCCCTTCTCTCCCTCTTCTTATTCTTTATTTCATAGGTCCACATGGTTGTATGGCAAGGAAGCATCGGTTCAAATGGCTGATGTACTGCTTTTGATGTCGTTGTTGTTCTGTATGCAAAAGTTGAACCTGAAATTCTTCGCTGTTCTTCTCATACCACTGCTGGAGAAAGTATGTTGAAAAGGGTGCGGATTGATATTGTTACCTACTATTATATAGGTTTAAATAATGCATTGAGAAGACGGGTGTTGCATCATGATATCATTTCTCGCTTCCTGAACACATGCAAATGAGCGACATTTAGTGATCCCGAAAGAGGAAATCAAAGATTTAAATGGTATCAGAATGGGAATGGAAGAAACATAAGGGCATAAACTCCAACAGAATCACAAACTTTGAGATAAGTGTCACTATCTCCAAGGAATCTCGTGGATAACGGTCAACTGTTTTGGCACACATAGTTCCGGACGGCTGTGATTACTTGCTATAACTTCCGCGAGCTTGAGTATCTTGCGTTTTCATTACGGTAGATAACCGTAAACGCTAAGTTAGATTCAATTTGGTGCCCCGTTCCAAGTATATCTCTGGCTATCGAAGAGAGGGCAATTTGGCTGTTGACTCTTGTCCGTGCGATTGTTTTGCCGCACATGTAGCAACCCATTGGGTATGTGCTCACCGATCCGCCTGTGCAGACACCGGTCTGTTCTGCCGATGTAACTGCTTCCACAGTTACAGACAAAATGTTGTGGCAGAGACCGACTGCGTAAGCTTGACGGGTGGCTTCGGTAACTTACTGGTTGGGCACAGTTTTGCTGCACTGAATGTACGTCGAATTGCTGTTTCAACACGCCGCTCGACTTGCATAGTTATATCATCCACTTTAAATGGCAATTGGAGATAGACGGGCATTTTTGACACTGTATGAGTCTTTTGTTTGTTCCCTTCCGTCGTGCGACCGTGAAACTTAATAAACCCTGTCGGGTGATCATTTGTCACTGATTCAGGCCAAATCTTGTATCTTGCATGGAAAAACAGAATTTCACACTCGAACTCGATTAGAGATGAAAACGCGAGTCAATGTGGGGTCAGCAGTAAGTTGAACGCTGAACTTGAACCGTGTGTTGTGTTAATTAGTATCTCCAATATCGCTGTCTTCAACCTATTTAATGCGCTATGATCTATAATATGAACCCCACAGTCCAGCGGATCTTGACGTTCTCAATTCGTTGCGGGGTGAACCGGTTGGAGGCGGCACAACAGTTTCTGGCAGGCTATTCGTAGTCAGTGAAAAACACAACAGATTTCTGGCGACGGAGGAGTTGGACAATAATGGCCATTTCATCTGAGCAGATGCAGCAGCTACTCCATCAACAGCAGCTCCAATTCGAGAAATCCCAGAGGCAATTGTTCGAGTTATTTGCGCAGAAGTTGAACGTTCAATCTGAGCTTCAAGCTGCTGGCATACGGTCTTCAGTAGACACGGTCACGACAGCAATCTTCGATGAATCAAACGGAGTAACTTTTGATTCCTGGTTCAAGAAATATGAAGATATTTTCCGTATGGAGTTGGCGGCGCAACATGATGCATGGAAAGTTCGGTTGCTGCTGCGTAAACTCGGTGCAGTTGAGCATGAAGGCTATACCGATTTTGTGCTGCCAAAGAATCCAAGGGA